ATGGTAACCCTAGCTGCTGTGTCAGCTGAGGGAGCCGTGGGCACTAATGCAGTTGTCACTCTCCCCACCACCACTGAAATACATCCCTAGTGAATCTCTGTACCCTGGAAATTAGTGGTGGGTCTCGCCCCTGCTCAGTCTGCTACCCAGTTCCTGACCCATCCGGGAGCCCTGTGGGCTGGATTATGCAGCTGTATAGGCTGGATTTTTGACCTTCATCTTAGATGGGGTCACCATATATCCTGGATTGGTTGGGACAGTCTTGGACTTTGGAGATTATCTCAGTGTCCTGGCCATTGGAAAAAATAGAAGCAGAAGTTCTGGATTGGCAGGAACCATCATGTGAGTGCCTGGCTCCTGAAGGGAAGGAGCTGCAGGGTTGTGTCTGTCTGTCTCTTGCTGTCTGCCCTGCCCACCCTGCTCCTGGAAGCTGTGGGGTTAGGTGTGTGTGTGTGTGTGTGTGTGTCCTGCCCAGCCTGGTTCTGGGAGTTGCGGGGTCAGTGGTGTGTGTATGTGTTTGCACACACACATTGCACTGGCACCGTGCTGTCCTGCCTGGCCCCACCTCCCACCCCTCTCATCCTGGATTTCTCTCAAATTATTATAGTCACTCTTAATCTTAGACCATTGAGTTTTCATGCAGTGTTAATGTCTGAATGTGTTTGTATAGTACCTGGCACATTAGAGACCTGATTCTGATTTGATCACCAGACAGCACTAGGATATAAATAGTAAATGTTTCTAGCAAAGTGGCCTCCCTCCCTCCCATCATTATTATTTAAATATGTCCAGTATTTGATGTATTGGTTCACCAAATGTTTTTCTTCCTTCCATGGTTATAAAAAGGGTTGTGGTTTTGTTTTTGGTTTTTTTATTATTTTTTTTTTTTTGGTGAGGGGTGGTGGTGTTTGAAGTAAGAAAACAAATGCAACAGATCCATTGTTGCTTGATGTGTGCATACCTCTTCTGTGTGGGTTTATCGCACGAGAGAACATTTTTGTGGATAAATATTCATAATAAAGCACATCCTTCTTTCCCAAAACACTACCATATATTTTACTTTTTTCTTAAACCCAATCAAATGTTGAAGGAAATGAAATTTGAAAGCTCTCAGCTAGTCAAAGCAGGTTAAATAGTGAGAGTTCTTCTCCCTGTAAATTTCAGCTTCTGACCCTCCCTTGCATTTCAGCATGACGTAGTCGTGGTCTGTACAATAGATTTCCATTATTTTAATCAAATGAGTGAAGAAAAATATCATCTGTGCTGTTTTCAGTTTCATTGTCAGTAGTCCACTGGATACTGAGGTGGCACCAAGAGTAATTTATTTAGTTCAGTACTTTCAGCCTGTCTAATGATAATAGGTTATCTGTTTCTGACAATTAGCTGAACTGGTGTGTAATCTCAAAGGAGAAAAAGCAGTGATTGCTTTTGTTAATCTATACTGGATTAATGGATTGTGTTTAAACAATTTACTTTTATTTTGCTCTCAATCCATAGTTTAACCTTCATTTGACTGGAGATATTCATGCTATTACGGCTGCTAATAATCTGCTGGCTGCTGCTATTGATGCTAGGATCTTGCACGAAAGCACTCAGTCTGATAAGGTGAGGATTACCATTCACAGTCCCTTTTGAATTTTCCTGTAAAACTTTACCTTTAAATATTTTCTGATTTGTCATTTTATGGGGCTGCTTTGTGTTCAGTCCGCTGTAAGAACACATTATGAATGTGGCACCAAAGCCAAGCTGGACTCCATTGGTGAGGGGTACTTCCAAGTCACGGTTTGCTGTGAAATCATTTCTCTTTAGATAGACTATATTTCTCTTTATAGCTAAGTATGTCCTCTCTTTCATTTCAGAATTATGTCTCAGTAACTCAATTGACATCGATCCTCTGATATGCCCTAGAGGGTTTTTATTGGCAAATAAACTACTGTACTATATACCTATTTTCTACCTCCTGCTCAATTTAATGTAGTCTTGAATTGCTGAAAAATAGACTAAGGGACAGAAACTTTATTTGTGACTGCTCTATTATATAGGAGGATTTTTCCCCCCTTTATTAAATTATTACTTTGACATGTGGCAGCCTGAATTCCTAAAAGGACAATTAAATCTGTTTACAGACATTGATTATACAGTGGGCTCCTTCAGACCTTGGATGATAGTTTCAAAAGCACCTGAGTAATTTGGGATTCCCACTCCTACTTTCAAAAATAATGTTTGGTTTTAGGAACCTGAGTCTACTAGAAAGTTAGTGGCTCTTGGGCTTCAGTGTATCTCACATTTTTGAAAATGGAACTTTGCTTCACTTCGGCTTGCCTGTACATTTAGTACCAGTCAGAATATGTTTTTAAATGCTTGAGTGTAAATCCATACCGAAGACTTGCAATGTTTGAATAATGTGTAATAGGGATGAATCTAAATAATATAAATCAACTTTTTATTGAATTTGTATTTGTGCAAGCGGCTGTGGGCTTTAATATTTTTGTGCATGCATATATTTTAGGCTTTATATAGCAGGCTGGTTCCAGTAGTTGATGGAGTGAGAAAATTTTCTTCTATTCAGCTTGCACGACTGAAGGTAAGTTGCTAATATGTTTCCCCATTTCTATGCCTTCCCCCCCAGTATAATACCCCTTAAAAAATATTATCTTAAATCACATTTGACACGTTGCAAGGAAATTTGTATTTGAAAGCACCTTAAACTTTCTTTAAAAAATTAGGTAGGTCCAGACTTTCTAAAAGCTTCCTGTTTGTAGCAATAGGGTTAAGTTCCACTTAAAAAAAAAAAAAATAGGATCTCTTTTCCCTTGAAATGAGCCAATAATGTTTTATAAATTATCTATTTCCTGACAAAATGTCAAGGTTAGACTTTTGATGTTTTCCATTATGGCATAGTCACTTTGGGGGGCTCAGTTTCACTTGTATTTTAAAAATTTTATTATGTTCTAGTTCATAAGATGGACTGTAACATTGTGGTGTTGGAGATGGTTGAGCTCTGCTTGTTCTATCCTCACATTTCTCTGCATAGAAGGATAAACTGTAGTTCTGCATGTGTTTTGTTTGCATATAATCTTGCATCCTGAATGTTTCCCAGGAGCTTCTAACTGTATTGTATATAGAGTATCAATACAACATCAGTAAAATTCAGCCAGATTTGAGGCAGAAGTTGGAGCACTGAACAAACCACCAGCCTTGGGGGAAGGGAAAATGTTGGCTTTGAGCAGAGAAATGCTATTTTTCATGTCTAGATATGGCATATGAAAGGTCTCTACTTTTCTTGTAGTGCTTTGTAGAATTAATTGATAGTGCTTCTTACTGTACCTTACAGTCTCTCTGTGGCAGTGAAATGGCTACAAAGTACCTGCCAAGCCACATCATACTTTTTAGCTAAATAACAGCCTTTTCTTTAAAGTTCTTTCTAATGGTATATTTTTAGTTTTTGCACTACTCGATTGTCTTGTTAAAAGTAAAACAGGATCTGGGTGGTGTCTGTTTACCTCTGTTGCAAAGGGGTACTCTCAGGAGATTCCTGAGAGACACTTATTAGAGAATATTTTCATTCTGTCTTTGTTTACACTAGAGGTGTCTAGGGAAAAAGAGGTGCTGATCTTACAGTTATTCAAGAAATATCAAATGTGTCTGCAGAGGGGATAAGTTTCTCCCTGCAGCTAGAGCTGCCAATTATTTTGGTCTACTTAGTTTAATTTGCAGCATCTGAATAAATGCAGTGAAGATTCTGTTGTAGTTAATGTAATGTTAATTTGTAATGCTATGTTACAAAAAAGCCTTCAAGCTATGTTAAAAGAATGTTTTTAAGTTTTAAAAAAAGCTCAAAAGTTAAGGATTTTTGGAATTAAGGTAACTTTGCAATGTATTACTTATTTGGTGTGTCCTCTCACCACATTCTTCACTTTCACTGGCTCCCAGAGGTCTTATCTAGTCTGTGTCCTGCTCCTTGTCAGATGTCTCTTTCCTCATTTTATTTCTCCCTGTTGTTGCTGAGTCTGAGTTTTACCCTTGGCTCCTTCTCCTCTGTTATTCCCTGCACACATTCAGGTCATATTTCCTACCACCTTCTCGTTTTAATCAGGCAACTATACCTCCAAAACAGCACAGGGGTCACTGAGAGCCAGGACAGATGGTATCCCTGCTTTCTAGTTCTAGTCCCAGGGCAGAGTTGCAAGACTAAGGAAAGTCCTTTTCAGTGCTAAACTGGACCATATGCCCTGTGCAAATGGGAACTTTAGGGAATTTAGATGATAAAAACTATTTAAAATCTGTACTGAGTATGTGCATGTAGAAACTGTCACTTAGTCAAATTTGGGTAGATTCTAATAAAATATTTCGGGTGAAAATGGGGGTGGTGAATAACAGTGGTACACTTTTGATAAAAAAGCTACTGTGACAGTAGGTTGAGGGCTCCTGGCACTTTAAGGGGAGAAAATGCTGCAGTTGGGCCCCAGGGCAACTGAATAGAGACTAACTGCAAGAAGGCGTGCTGCCAGGAGTCTCGGCAGCTGAGGCAGGGAGCTGCATCTACTGCCTAGAATAGACTGGCTGTAGGAGAACCGACAGCCAGGAAAGCAGCTGGCTAATAGGAGACTGGCTGCTAGCAGACAGGCAGGCTGCTGAGCTAAGCCCTAGCTGAGAAAGCAGGCAGGTCATCAGCCGCAGGGAGGGAACCTATGGGGAGCCGCAAGATCATGTGACTGGACAGAGCAGGGCTTAGGAGGCAGATGAGGCCAGTGCATGAGACCAGGCAGGGCAATCTGGCCCTGCAGGCTGAAAGGGAAGCAGTTTCTAAGTAGGGGGGCAGAAGGGTACTGGCTGGCTGACTTGAAATGCCGTGAGATCTGCAAACAAGATGCCCACAGTCTGCAGGGAAGTGTAGGACCCAGTATGATGGGGAGTGTGGTGGTTCAGTCACGGAGCTGAGGATACAAACCAGAGAGGGGAAGCTTTGTTTATGTACATCTAGGGAGCTGGGGTCTGTGTTGGGACCCAGTGTGGGGATAGTTTTCAGTTACAGCCAGAGTGCTTTCTTACTGCATTGCAGTTTATAGTTGTGTTTTGGGCTGGGAACTGCAGGGAAGGTTTGGAGGTCCCAGCTGTGTTGGTAGGGCATGCAACTGCCTTGAATCTGGCCAGGGGTGAGGCAAATATCAAGAGTAGCAGAGGAAGGGCCAGCGGCTCATTCCCTGAGCAAGGTGCAAACCAGGGTCAGGGACCTGTAGCCCAAGAAGGGCTAAGCAAGTACCCATGCGGGGCAAGAGCCAGAGTCCAGGGACCTGTAATCTGTGAGGGGCAAAAGCCAAGGTCAGGGATCCATAGTCCGTGAGGGGCAAGATCAGCGTAGAAGGGCAGAGACCAGGGACCTAGCTGCCCAGAAGGGTGAATTCTAGGGACAGATGCCCAGAGAGAAGGACAGGGCTGGAACCCAGGAGCCTGGCCCAGTGCAGTGGGCCTAGGCAGAAATGGGCCAGTTAAAGGGAAGGGGTGGATGCCAGGAAGGCCAAGGCCCCAACAAGGATATAGAGGCCTGTATGGCTGGACATTGGCTTGAGGGCAAAATTCTTCACCTAAGTATGGATCAGTAACACCTGTGAGGCATGGGCATGGATGTAGGGGAGGTTGGAAACCGGGACTAGCCCATAAGGGAACGAGTGCCAGGGAGCACATACAGACCAGGAGGGCCCAGCTAATGAAGGGCTAGATTTGAGATAGTGGGGTCTGGGAGGGGATCTGCTGATGAAAGAAAGACATAGGTGTGTTCTAGGACCCTTAGACAGTTTCACGTTAATAATCTAACAATTACATCAAGGCATGGCAGGCAAGAGTGGAAGGGGAAGGTACCTAGAATTAGGGCAAGGCAGTAGCTGTTTGGCCAGCAGGGGGATAGCACAGTTGTCCCAAGACCCAGTCCTGCTACATCTTAATCTGTTCCCAGAGTATGAGGACACTAGAGCTTCTCAAAGAAAAGCTCACTAGAAATTGTTAGCTTGAGTAAAACATTCTTGGAAGCAAGGAGCATTGAAATTACAGCCTGTAAGGTAAAGTTACAAGCAACTGAAAACAAGTTCTGATATTGGAAAGTGCCTTAATAACACCCCTTCCTTTAATAATTTAACTTTCTAGAGTTGAGTTGACCTGTTCCTAGCAGTTTGTTTGAATTCATTGAAGAAAGCTTTCTGTGGCCAAAGGGCATAAAGGCACTTTTTCTATGTTTTGTAAAATTGCCTTTTTCATAATATGCAATTGCTTTTGATTCTGTGCTGATTAATTTAAGGAAAGATTTTGATACTGCTGAATTAGTAGCAAGTTCTTTAAAATATTTTTAATGTATTGAGCTGCCCTTTCTAAACGGTAGATAAAAAAAAAAAAATCAAGATGTAGTTGCTCTTAAGGTAGAGCATTAATAAGGCATATTGCAAGTTTGTACAGGCAGTCCTCGACTTACAACATTTCGAGTTGCAACATTTCACGCTTGCAGCATTTATAAGTTGACACCCTGTTTCAACTTTCTGACATCAGTTTCAACTTTACAATGCTTGATCCGATGCGACACCACGCCAGCAAATAAGTTTGCTGCATCGCTCATCTCCCTGTGGAGAACTTCTGTCCAAACTTCCTTGGATGCTTTCTTTAAGAAAGCAGACAAGACTCCAGAAAAACCTGCAGCCAAGACTCCTGAGAAGACTCCAGCCAACAGCCCTTCAAAAAGTTCAGCAAAGTCGCCTCAAAGAAGTCCTTCCGAATCAATATGATTGCTATTTACAATACAAATACATTAATGTAGCTATATTACTCATCTATAATTGATCAAGTACAAACTTCTGGGGTATTTTTAGTGAAAATAGGGCATCAGGCCTTGGGTCAGGAACTAATCCCCCATTTATAACATTTTTTCCTGAGAAAATTGGTTCCGAGTTACAACGTTTTGACGTAGGACATGGTTTTCAAGAACCAATTGTGTTGCAAGTCTGAGGACTTCCTGTATTTCATTAGCAAAGAGTAGCTCTGTAAAACAGTAGGCACCAACCTTTTAGGCAGAAGTGCCACAAACTAACCCCCTGTCCTTCCCAAATGTCACTCCAATACCCTTCTCTTTCCCTATCTGCTGCTCTTCTTTCGACTGCCTACCCTAGGCTCCCTGCTCAATCTGCTGCATTGTCTTCAGCTTCCTTCCCTGTGTGCTGTACCCCATCTGCTGCTCTGCTTTCTGCTTCCTGCCACTGTGCTGCTTGTCCCATTGCTGATCTGCTGCATGCCACACACAGGCTGTCTGTGCCATTTGTAGCCACCCTGCTGTAAAACAATTTATTGAGATATGTAGGGACATGTCCACAGCCAAGAAAAAGGTTTATGCATATTTTTTAATTATCTTTTTCATATTGTCTGCTGTATTTCATCATCTCTTTTGTTTACTTTGAGAGTGTTTCTGTGTGGCAGAGAGAGCTTTTGTTTAATAGTCTTTAGATATTTCTTCCTTGCTCTCCAACGCACCTTCCCCCTCCTGTTTTTCTTCTTGATGTATGAGCCTTCTATGGACTTTATCACTTGAGCCTGATCCAGCATGCTGTGATTTATTAGTGTTTTCAGCCTGACCTTTTTTTTAATGGAAGTGTTTGGAAAGAAAATAAGAGAGAAATTGGGGTGGATATGTGTATTTGTGTAGTTTTTTGTTGTTTTTTTAAACCAGAGAGTCTGCCTTACTGCTTTTCTTCTCTACTTTTCACCTAGAGGTTGGGAATAAGCAAAACTAATCCTGGTATTTTAACAGAAGAAGAGATCAATAAATTTGTACGTCTTGATATTGACCCCTCTACCATTACATGGCAAAGAGGTAAGTATCTGTGGTCACAAAAGTCTTAGTTACTTAAGTAAAATACTGAAATAAATTTGGACCTAATTTAACTAGCCTAAAGAGTTATCTACAACCTACTTAAAAGAACAGTATATTTGCAAATGACATACATGTACATGGCATATATTTGGAAATGGCATGTTTCATAATTACTTAGTTTTCGCTGTCCGTAGACGCTTGAAATATTCTGTAGGCATTTGCTAATTTTGTTTTAAAAATAGTAATCTCTGGGCTTGCCTACATGTGCATTTAAGCATGCCTAAATTTAACATGCATTAGCTTAATGCACGTGAAACAGGTTTAGGCAGGCATCTATACATGCAAGCGTTAAAGCACGTTGACGCTGTCTGTGGACTAATTTAGGACTAAAATTAGTCCCACGTCAGTGGACACACACAGCGTTAATGTGCTTTAATGCATCTACAGGTTCGTTAGTACGCTTGAACTATTCATGCCTAAATTGGATACTTGCATTTGCAGGTATCCAATTTAGGCACGAATAGCCTAAATTCCCCATTTTAATGCACATTACGGACGCATACATGTAGACACATGACCTTAATGTACATTAACTTAGGCTAGTGTGCATTAAAACACAGTGTATAGATGCACCCTTTTTGTTGTTGTTTGGTGCAAGTCCACATACCTTTAAAAGCAGAGGCCTTTATCGTCACTGGGATACAAAATTGTGTGTGTGTGTGTGTGTGTGTGTGTGTGTGTGTGTGTGTGTGTGCACATGCATGCACACGTATACACGCACGCATATATATGCGGACACATATATACACACACGTGCATGTGTACATGTCTGTATGTATATATATGTATGTATATACACACATGCACATATAGGCACACATATATGCGCATGCACACATGCGTGCACACATACATACACACCTATATATGTGTGTGTGTATATATGTGTATGTATATGTCTGGGTATATTTGTCTACACATATATGTGTGTGTATATATGTATGTATAAAATGTGTAATATTGACAGCTCTTGGCTCTTAAATTTTTTATTCAATTCTTCTTGTTTTAGCTAAGCTTATTGCAGTTTAGACCATTTAGATTATGCATTATTTCATATCACATTTGCATAAATTAACAGAACTGTGTGTGGCTAAAGAGGCATTTAAATATTGTGATCTTAAGTCAGTGTTCTGGACTTTTTTATGTTTATAACATGTTTTGGGTATTTTCTTCTGATCATAAGAAAAGAGAAGAGGAAAATTTACAACGCAGTTAAAACAGAGCATGTCAGCCAGTCAGTAGTTATGCTCATTCTGCTATTCTCACTTAGTTTCCATGCTCTGTAGGTTAGTGTTAATATTCAAGAAGAACCACAGTGACCTCAATTCTGTATCTTGTTAGTACAAAGAAGACTGCCCCAGGTTTTGAATAAATGCCAATTCTCATAACTTAATTTTCCTCCTAAAAGGTAGAGGAGCTGAAATATCACTTAGCCTTGCACCTGATATAAAGGATATTATAAAGATATATTGATTTTAAGGTTCTTAAAACAAATACTGGAATCCTAGTTTTGATTCAGTGAAAAATACTATTAATGGTCTTGAGTTTCACTAATAAAAATTGTGAAAATGAGTGACCACATTTCTCTGCTGTTGTTTACTCTGTCTGCTTGTATGCACAGTCTCTCAGTTACTGGTTATTTCAGTAATATAACTGGACAATGTGACATGCTATTTTTAGTATTAAGCTAACTAGTATCTGAGCTTGTAAGAGTCAGGCACACCTATGAAGGGAGCATATGGGACCATTAACAGTGTGATGTAGGTTTTTAATGTTTTAATTAACACATGTTTCTGAGTGGGCCCCATGACTAAAGAGTGTTAATCCTTAAGTGAGCTTTTCAGTTCATCCCAAACAAGTGCCAGTGAAACCGTTATACCATACTGCTTCACATATAATGTACGTGCCAAAAGATTGTTTTAGGAATGTTTTAGAGCATGAATAACTGGTGGCTCCTGAACTGGGGGGGCACCTGCAGAAGCCGCTGACAATAGGGGCCCTGTCAGGGGGGCCACCAGCCCTGCCAACAGTATTCATGTCAGCCTTTGGGGGGGGCACGTGCACCCCCTACCAGTCGGCTATGCTTTAGAGAGTTTTGAAGTACTTCATTGGGCCTGTTTCTGGATTCCTGTTTCTGGATTCCTGTTTCTGGAATCCATGCCTGTGAAGCTGGATATGTTAGTTACCAAAAATCCAGCTATACAGAGCTGCAGAGTCACGTAGCTATCTGAAAATGAACCAACAATGACCCAACAGTGGCATTTCCTTACCTAACAATATTGCAGGCTTACAGTCTATTGGACTTAAAGTCTATTGTCTTGTGCAGACTAAAAAACTGCTGCATCTCACTGAAAAGTAAGGACACTGCTTTCCAGTGGCACTGTTTTCCTGTTTCTATTCCTGGATTAGACTTTAAATCTATTACTTGCTCAGGATTGAGCCTGGTTATCCTTGTCTTTGAGAAGGTGTAATTTGGGTATGTGTGGAAGGGGAGAATTCCATCCTCTGGAGAGAAGAAAAATCATTTCTTTGCCAAGTTGATTCTTTTTTTAGGTGCAATTTTTTTTTTTTTTTTTTTTTTTTTTTTTTTGCTACTGCATCACATTGTTCACTTATTTGGAATATGTGATCCACCAAAACTCCAAGATCCTTCCAGCCTAGTTATCTTCCATTCTGAATTTGTGCATTGATTATTCTTCTCTAGCACCTTATGTTTATCTGTGTTGAACTTCATTCTCTTGCCTGTAGCCCAGGTCTCCAATCCATCACAATCTTTTTGAAGGCTATTCCTATCATCCCAAGTGTTTGAAAGCCTCCCCATTTCATGTCATCTGCAAGATTGATCAGGAAGCTATTTCAGTATCTAAATCATTAACCAACATTTTACACAGCCCCTCTACCCAAGACAGACAAACCCTTATGGAACCCTACTTGAAACTTCCTGCCATTCTGTCATTGATCCATTTCTAATTACCTTTTGCTTGTGGTTATTGAGCCAGTTATGTATCCACCTAATCATAGTTCTGTATAGTCTGCCTTTTTCCAATTCAATTCTGGAATATCATGTTGGGACTATATCAAAATCTTTGCAAAGATTAAAAAACACTGTCCACTGTATTTCCTTCATCCACTTAACTTGTTACTTTGTCGAGGTAGGAAGTAGTAAAGTTCCTTTGGTGTGATTTGTTCTTAATAAATTTATGCAAGCTACTAGTGATGAGCTTTACCTCCTCCAGATGTTTACGATTTGACTGCTTAATAATTTGCTCCAGTAACTTTTCTGTAGCACAATCTGGTAGGATTAAACATATTTTTATGGGTTGAGTTAACAGTCACATCTGAGTTGAATATTAATGACCCAAAGATGCATTAAGCTGTGAGTGGTGGAACCACATAGCATGGCAGAGCTTGTGATAGAACTGGGTCTGAACTCATATATTCATGTGAAACACAGATTTATAACAAAAATCCAAATGAACCCTTAAATATAGCACTACTATAATCAAGCCAGAAATTTATTTATGGTTACCATTTTTTTCCTAAAGAAAATACTATACATTTCCTTTGGCATCCCTTTAAAATACAAGCTTTATTCACTAGCAAATGTAATTTGAATAGAGTTCTTTGAATCCATGTAGAAATTGGTACTGTTAGCATAATTAGTAAATGGTTAATGAATAATTATTAAAATTAATAGTGTAATTATATTGCAGTCTAGCATTTTGACCATGCATTTTTCAGTATGCTAGGAATAGAACCATTGGTTTAATTTGACAGTATAAATTATATTTTTCCCAAAGACAGTTTGTCTTCTCAATCATTTAACCTGATATGGAGGATAAAGTAAGCTGTTAAAATTCTGTTGTGGTTTGTGACAGGATACATACTTGGTGTTGTGGTTAAAGCTTTAACTGGTAAAAAGATGGAAGGACTGGAGACTTATTCATATAGTTGTAATGTTTATGCACTGCTTTTTAGTGTATAAGGAATTAACAGGAAAAGTTCTTGGTTCTTGTTTTAGTTGAAATCAGAATTAATTTTATGACTGCACTGGCGGTTGGGGTGACTCTCTGCCACAGAAGGATATGTCTGATATGCAATAATCTTGTTAGTTTATATTCCTTCTCCTAAAAGGATACAGAAACAGACTGTACACTTAAAAGTTTAATGGCTCAAAAAGAAGATGCTGGACAAAGATATTAACTCAATTCTCATAGATATTCAACTGCCAACAGTGAATTAAAAAGCCACTTTTGGTGGCACTTTGCTTGTACATGTGTCTGGGTGAGTACCAAAGACACTGCTTTGTAGATATCAACACTTATGCCTCTGCTAACCTCCTGAGGGTCTGTACATACAGCGCAAGGCAGAGCTGCCCAAAAAGCAATGAGCTATCTCTGTGCATGCTAGGTCTGGATCTGAAAGCAGGGCTAACCCATGCTGTTTCTAGTTTTTGGGGCTAGTTCACACAGAGCTGATTTGGTGGGTATCTGCATGGCACTGCCTTGCATGTAAGTGTCCCTACTTCTTTGCTAATTCTTAGCAGGAGCTAATACATAAAGAAGCGAATGGAAGCTAGTATACAAAACAGGAAATGCTTGGATACATGTTTATTTGGATAGAACACCCCACCCAAACAATTTATTGCATTTGAGTCTTTGGCAATGCCATTATGTTTGCTCTTTCTTTTCTCCCCCTCTGTTTCAGTATTGGACACAAATGACCGATTCCTACGAAAAATAACAATTGGGCAAGCAAATACGGAAAAGGGATTTATCCGTCAGGTATGCAAAGCTAGATGCTGGGATGCTTCTCAACAGAATTTTCTTTGAATTTATGAAAAGTGTTTGCTCTTCTACTAGCCATTCAATTAATTACTTAGGACTAGGTTGCTCTCCGCGTGATCCCAGTGGTATAATTTTAAATATTTTCTGTTTTTTCAGCTTTTTGCTTTCTTATCCTCCCATCCTCTACGTATTTGGGTCATGAAAGTGTAAAAGCCTGAAGTGTGTGCTTCACTTTTGTACTCAGAGATTCACTGACTTCACTAGCAAGTGTAATTTGGGCAGCTAACAGCATGCAAAATTAGGTGTATGTGCAAGTCTTGGAAGCTTCAGTACCTTGTGAGAATGAATTGCAGCACTGCATGAGAGCTGTTTGAAATCAGTTAGTGAAGAATTTGCTGCCAAATTGAAATGTAATATCCATTCACTTTAATTATTCTAGTTCTTGAGCTCAACTTCAAATAGATGGATTTTTCTAATTTGCTGTCCCTAAATACCCATATAGTCAATACCATATTTACTCAAATGTAAGATGACTTTGAATACAAGATAACCCCATAATAATTAGATCCTGTGTGGGGAAAATTTATACAAGTTATAATTTTCCAGGTATAGAATCTAATTATTGGAGATCTGCCTTTATTGTTTCTCCCCTCCCTCTTACCGTCAAACTGCGCTTTCTCTAAGCACATGAAAGTGAAGTAAATTTGAAAACATTTACCTTGAAATAAACACGATTTACCATATAGGCAAATTACTACAGGTACCCATAGACTTAGTTTATCCAGAATTAATGCATGTTACCTTTTTCAGGCTGATGCAAGTTTTAGCACAGGTACTCCATGAACACACTTTTAAGCTGCACTTTTATACTTGTATATAGTATGAACTACGCATCAGATTAGTTTAAAGTGAAAAGGCTCATGATTCAGTATCTAGTTCATTGGGTTGGGCACTAGCAGTCAACAGCATTTCAAGCCATGGTGACCCCACAGCTCAGCACTGCTGAGTATGTGCATGTGTGTTCTCCGGATACCTCTCCAAAAAAGATCCATGTGCTAATTATAATTAGTTCCCCACTCATGACTGGGTGTTCTTGTAATAAATCCTGGGATCCTCCAAATTATATACAGATGAGGCACAGGGCAACCTGGCCCAGCTTCGCCTCATGGAGGGCAGGAGCACACTATGTGACAAGCTAAGAAAGGGGGTGCCAGAAGGAATTGTGGGTGAACTGTTTGAGGCCCCATTTGGTGCTGTTTGCCAGACATTTAAGGATAGTGAAGGAAAAGGAATCATTGCAAATAGAAAAGAAAGGCACAGCTCAGCTATACCTTCAAGGAGTGAAGAGGAAGGAGAAATGTATTCAATGTAGTAGCTCACCATGACTTGAAAAAAAGAGTCAGTGCTGAGGGGTACTGCATACAGTAGTATGCATACTGCATACAGTAGGCACTACCATATATCTTATTAATTTGGACTGCATTAACCTATCCTTGCGGTAAGTCTCCATCAGTATTTTTGCCCATATGGTCCATGTGTTTTTTTTATTCATGCTCAGTGTTGATGTAGTTCATTAACTACATAGTTGGTTTCCATTTACTGAGCACAAGTTGTTTTTGGCAGCAGCTTAATGGTAGACAATGTATTTAATAATACATTGTATGTAATTATAAGATGAGGGTCTTTTTTTCCCCATACTGCTTGAGTTGGGGGACTTAATCTTGTAAATATGTTAAGTATTTCTGGTTGGTTTATAGGGGCAATTTTTTATCTTTTTCCATGTAGGAAGCTAATGACTTATACATTAGCTTAATTTGACAGTAGTATAAGTGTAAACTAAGAGGAAATCAAATTAAAACAGGTGAAGAAGTTCCTTGTAAATATATTGTTCAGTAATACATCCCTCCTCTAGGGCAAGACTTAGTATCATCACAAGCAAATTATTCAGAAGTGGTTCATTTTTTCTATCAAAAGTCCTTGAATAAATTAAATTACAGTCATGTAAACAGTACTTACGCAGATCAGACGCGACATGTTGCATTGATGCACACCTTGGATGAACAAAATGGCATGAGAACTAGAACAAGCAAAATAAAAGGAGAAGTGGTGGGAAGAAAGCATGGGATGGAATATACATATTCCATCCCATGCTTTCTTCCCACCACTTCTCCATTTAAACACTTTAACACGATTAAAACACTTTAAAAAAATTATTTAAAATTCCATTCATTTGAGCAAGGCTTATGAGAGGCTGGCAAGACTAAGTAGGGTGAGCCCACATCCTGCTGCATCTTTCAGACTGTTCTGAGAGGCCCTGGCAAATGTTATGCTTTTGGCATGATTAACATGTTCATTGTGCCGTAAATGGCACAGATGCTACATGTGCACCTGATTTTAAGACACAATAAAATAACAAATCCTCTATAAAAATACTCCATTCATAAAAATGATGCAGACTATTGTTTAACCCCTTGTAGCATATGCATTGTGGCCTGTAATTATGTATCCATGTTCAGAGTAATTCAGGTCAATGAATTTAGCATTATGCTATGGCAGTATGGCTCAGAGGAGGGGAAAATGGGAAAATGAAACTGACTAGTTACTTTTTTAATACATTTCCAAGGAGCAGTTTAACTTGGTTCAGGGCCACTGTGAGGCATGTTCAGGTGGCAGTGGCCTGTAAGACAAGGTAATAATGCAGGGGGAACAGAACTTCAGGATAAATAAGGCTGCTTTCCTAGAAATCTGTGCAAATTTTACTCTTGAGCTGCAGTGAATTGTAGAAACATAGAGAAGTAGGGCTGGAAGGAGCTTCCAGAGGTCATGTAGTCCTAAATCCCCTGCCTGAGGCCTGATCTTCACCAGTGGCAGAAGATTTAGATGAGAGGCCCCCTCAGCCCGAAGAACTGTGTGGCTGTCACTGACTAGAAGCTTGCCACTTTCTACCTCAATTGGCCAGTACCTAACCACTTAGTTGTTGGCAGATCAAGGCTCTTGCCATGATGGCTTGTGATGCTCTGCTGTGTTATAAAACCTTGCAGTGGTGATTATTGACAGTTTTGCACAGGTGTAACTCCTGAGATCTGAAGGGGCTACTGGTGACACGCTCCTTCCTACCTCCTTTCTACTCCAGCCCAGATGTGTTCCTCTTCATTGTCTAACTTACTCCCCTGACTGAGCCCTGTACATCATTTCAGTCTTTTGAGGATGCTTCAGGAACGTCATCTCTCCATAGCTGGGCTGTTATGGCTCTTTGTTGGGATGAATTACAGTTCCTGAAAAATCTTTTGCTGCTATTTTTTGTGAACCAGGGTGTTAAAGGTATTGAAGGACAGCAGAAAAAACACATTTGGTATCCCTTCCCTAATTTCTGTTCAGCAACACTAAAATTCTCCCCTACTGAATATTTGTCATGCTATGCCTATCTTTTCAGCCCTTTCTAGCATCTGCTTTGGGATAAGATATTTCACAAATGTCTTTCCTTCCTGTGTAGGACTTCTGCAAAGGCTAAGTGAGTCTGCTGTCTTTAGGTGGTTGGAAGGCTTGCAGAGTCAGCAGCCTAGTAAATGTATGTGCAAGTCTTCAGGTTCTGTGTATGCTGGATGCTGTTACTCTGAGGACCCTGACGCATTACATTTATTATATAGTTAACGTGTTAATTATGCTATAAATAGTTAACCTGCCATACATTCTAGCAATTAAGGATGTAACAGAGAAAACATTCCGTACTGGAGGTCTTGTTTTGCTCCCTTTTCCATAGGTATTTCTGGTTTTCCACCTGCTGACACACAGGGAGCCCATGAGCAGGTAGAAAACCATGCAGGGCTGCCCCATGTGCCTGTCACCCTGCCCATGTGCAAGGAGTCCATCAGCTGTTGGGTATCCAGGCATCAGCAGACTGAAAGCCTCTCACTTGAAGTATGGCATTAGAAACCAGTCCCTGATACCGTGCTTCCCACTGCACTCTCTGAACATCTGGGCAGGCTGGGACCGAAGTCCCTTATGCTGGGATCTCCACTGAGTGGGATCTGACATATTTTATACTGGATCCCGAAAACTGTCTGTTTTCCCTTGGAGATGTGGTTTGGCAGGATATGTAATTTTGGGGGGTAAAATCTGTCATATATTGACCCTGCAATTATATTAATGTCTGCCAAGGGCATGAGATATAACTTGTTCATAAAGACAAAGAATATGTCAGGAAGTCATGTGGTGCTGTTTATCAGGATCGTCATCTCCTGCATCTGGTATGGGAGTAGTGGGGAAACACTGGTCTTGAGAGTTAGTTGCCCTTGCATTATACTTGCCAAAGTAGAGCACTGTTTTTATTTATCTAGAATTCTGTTTTATGAAACCCATACACCAACATAATTACACTGCAAAATGAATAGAATACTGTAGGAAAACAAAACTTATAAATCTCTCATAGGGACAATATCCTGATAAATTTGGAGTTGAAGGGGAGCCTAAGTGCTTAGCAGGTGGAGAGGGACTCCAAGCTAGGAGACAGTTGATACTTGGGAGGGAAAAAAGTAGGTTTACATTTCCCCCATACCACAGTATTGTAGTACAGCCTATACTATTTACTGGCTGAACTCCTCCCTGTAGAAGTTTCAGGCTGGCTCTGGTTAGAGCTCTCTTTCAGAACAGTTTTATTGGGACTGTCTCCACTGGAACCTCTGCAATATCCAGATTTGCCAGGGAGTTGGACAGTTCTTGACTGTCATAATAAATGGCCTCCAGTTTGGAACCCTTGCTAAACATGAGATCAGGGAAGTTTTTGGTAGGTTTTGGGGTGCTTGTTGTATTCAGTGTCTTGGGTGCAAGACATCTTTGAGTTCAGTAATGTTGTCATTTATACATGTATGTGTGTGCACAAGCAATCCAGTTCCTAATAATACGGGCAGGTCTATACTGGAGGTCTTGTTCTGGTCCCTTTTCCTTGGATATTTTTGCAGAGTTCCTTTTCTGTTACTCAACACCAGGACCAACAGTGA